GTTTCTGCCGCTCTCTCTCTCTCTCTCTCTGTGTGTGTGTGTGTGTGTGTGTTCACATGTATGGAGTTATTCCCTGGCATTTCTGTTTTTTTTTTGTTGTTGTTGTTTTTTTTGGGGGGGGGTTTCTTCTTTCGTTGGCTCCGGTGGTGTCAATTTGCGGCGTGTTATTTTTACAGTAGTCATTTGGGGAGGGGGGAAAGGGGGGAAGTACTCGCCGTTTTGTGTGGGTGCGTCGTGACGAAACAACACACATCGAGCGGGAAGAAAAAGAAAAAAAAAAAAAAAGAAGAAATAATTAACTAAATTAAATTAAATTAAATTATTTGTTCTTTGAATAGGCAAAGAAGAAGAAGAAGAAGAAGAAAAAAAAAAAAAAGTGTTGGGGAGGGAGGAGAAAGCGACACACACACAAAAAAAAAAAAAGGAAGTGCGGAAATAACAACGCAAGGCGCGGACATGACCGTGACGGTGGATTTGTTCAATCATGCGAAGGCGAGCAACAATGAGGGCCGCGTGTGGTCTGTGGACGCCGCGACATTTAACGAGGTGCCTGAGGCGCAACGTGTGCTGGCGGACTCGCAGTTTTATCTCGCCTACACCATGAAGCGGCGTCACGTGCTGCGTGTGGTGAAGCGCTCGAACCTTTTGAAGGGCACCGTGCGGGCACACTCAAAACCCATTCATGCGGTGAAGTTTGTGAATTACCGCAGCAACGTCGCAGCATCGGCTGGGAAGGGGGAGTTCTTCGTGTGGGTTGTGACGGATGAAACGGAGGCGAGCAACGGCAAGCCGGATCTCGCAGCCCGCCTCACAGTGAAGGTGTACTTTAAGCTTCAGGATCCTGTCACAATTCCATGCTTTTCTTTCTTTATTAACGCCGAGAGTCAGCGGCCTGATCTGCTTGTCCTTTACGAAACGCAGGCGGCAATTCTTGACAGCTCCTCCCTCATTGAGCGCTTTGACGTGGAATCACTGGAGGCAACACTACAGCGGAATTGCACAACCCTGCGAACCCTGAATCAACCGGTTAGTGAGAACAGTTTATGCTCCGTTGGCTCTGGCGGATGGTTCACCTTTACCACGGAACCAACAATGGTAGCGGCATGCACATTACGAAACCGCAGCACTCCATCATGGGCGTGTTGCGAGGGTGAGCCAGTGAAGGCATTGCATCTCCTTGACGCAACCGTTGAGGAAAATGTCAGTGTTCTCGTGGCCGCATCTACAAAGGGGGTGTACCAGTGGCTCCTTACGGGTGTAGCAGAACCAAACTTGTTGCGCAAGTTTGTCATTGATGGATCTATTGTCGCGATGGAAAGCTCACGAGAAACGTTTGCCGTGTTTGACGACAGGAAGCAGCTGGCGCTGGTGAACATGCATTCCCCTCATAACTTTACCTGCACACACTACATGATGCCTTGTCAGGTACAGCGTAACGGCTTTTGCTTCAATCGTACAGCCGACGGTAGCTGCGTCCTGGCTGACATGTCGAATCGATTGACGATCTTCCATCTCCGGTCCTCCCGCAGGGAAGAACAGCAGCCAGGCCAAAAACCATCGGTAGTTGCGACGGCGAAACCGGGGTGTGTGTCCTCGGGCACTGACGCGGCGAGTAGCAGTCATACCAATACGACTTCTGCCGCTGCTGCATCCCCTGCATCACCCCCTGTTTCAGCGCCAGCGAAGGCAGCCGCGCCTCCTGCCGCGGCGCGATCCGCTGAGCCGCACGTGGGGAGCAAGATCATTGCTAATCTAGTGAATCAGTTGGGGATTAATGTCACCCAAAGGAGCGTCGTCAGCACTGGAGCACCGGCCACGACGAGGTCTACGGCGGTGATGTCCACGGCCACCGCCCCGCAGCGAACAAGTCCATATGGGCACAATGGCCGACCTGTGACGGCTGGATTGGTGGCAGCTAATAGTGGTGCCAGCGCGGCCTCGTCTCCCACAGCCGCGGCGAAACCAACAGGAGAAGAAAAGGCCCCCGCGGCATGTGACACGAGCTCCGTGGCGATAAATGCGACACGCCCGGCGCTTCACAACGCCTCTCTCCCGCAGGCGCCAACGGATGGCGTGTTGGCGGCGGCAGTATACCAGTCGGAGGGCGAGGTTCATCAGTCGCTGGAGCGGCTGGAGTCCGTCATAACCAACACGTCTCAGGTTCTGAAGTTGCTCCCTGACACCATTCGAAGAGACCATGAACAACTTCTGAATCTGGGTTTAGAGGCACAGATGACAGAGCTGCAGCAGAGTCGTCCAACACCGCAAACACAGCCGAAAGACACAAGCTCCGCGAACTCATCCGTGTTTGAGACGTACACTCTTGTTCTCATTGCGGATTCCCTCTCTCGCAACATCACGAAGGGGGTGAAGCGTGGTGTGAACGAGGCCATCATGTTGCATCTCGACCATGAGGTGCGGCACGCCATAGGGAACCGGCTTCGGCAAACACAAAAGAACATCATCAAGAGCCGCCTCGATGAAGCGTTGAAGGAAAGCACTACACAGTTTACGGCTCAATTGACGCAAACGGTGGAGAATCTGGTGAAGCGCGAGCTTGCCGAGGTGCTTGGTAGCATCAACGGCTCCCTCACTTCTCTCGTGAAGGAAAATGCCTCATTGCAGAAAGAGTTGAATTCCATAATGTCTAGTGGGGTGTTGGATGAAATGCGTCGTATGCGGGAAGAGCTGTGCACATTGCGAGAGTCCGTTGCGAAGCAGAAGGCAACAATGCCAGATTCTTCTCTTCACGCCACGAGCTCCTTTCAAGGAAGAAGGTCTGCGCCCGAGACAATTCTTGCAACCGCGTTATCGATGGTGCGAGAGCAGCAATACCGTCAGGGACTGGAATACATCTTGATGGCTCAGCAGCCCTCTCTCCTCCTGCGGTTCCTCAGCATACTTACAAGGGAAAACGAAAGCGCCTACTCGGAACTTATTGAAAATGTAGAGGCGCCGAATGACGTGTGGTGTTCAGTTCTGTTGCAACTCATAGAGGCCGCGGCGACGGAGGCTGAGAAGGAGGTGGTTGTTGGCGTCGCCATTGATATTCTCTCCGAGCGCGATCAACTTGCTCAGAACGGCGCACTCGGCTCGAAACTCACCACCGCCATGCGAGCCTTTGAGCGACAGGCAAGGTCGGAGACAACGAGCAGGTCATTCTTGCAATGCCTGAAGAACCTGGAAAAGCTTCTGCAATCATGATAATAAAAAGAACTCAACGAATACAGCTGTTGATTATTAAGGAAGGAAAAAGAAAGAGAGAAATGTAATGGGCGTTTAGTTACGGTAGAAAGAAAAGTGCGGATACGAAGGAGGGGTTTTGTGTGCGACCAGAAATTACTGGGGAACGATGCTACATGGCGGAATCGACCATTTTATTATTATTATTATTATTATTGTCTTTGGTATTATGTTTTTTTTGTTTTGTTTTTGTGTGTGTGTTTGTTTTTCTGGCTTACTCCGTGCCGTTGTGGCACAGGCTACTCACACTTCACGTGATGCTTTTCTTCGGGCCCCATTCACGCAGGGATCCTTCCACATTGTTGATGTAGCACGTCATTGGTCGCGTGCATGAGGCATGGTTTGCTGGGGGTTAAGGGGGGGGGGGGGGGGGGGAACAATCCATCCGTAAGCGAAACGGCGACAGCAGCTGGCGGAGGCGGCGGGAGGGGATGGAAGGATCGATAAATGCATGATTCGTATGAGGGAGAGTGAGGCAGGAAGTTTATGATTCTCTGCGACATGTCTCCGGCCGTTTTTTCCTTTTTTTTCCATCTCCCCCTCATCCACGTTTAGAAGTGTTTTTGTTCTCTCTCTCTCTCTCACTTTTTTTTTGCCTTCTTTGTTTTCTTTATTCTAATTTATTTTTTATTACCACCTTGTTTTTGTTTTCGTTTTAATTTTACGTGTATGTAAGTGTATGTATGTAAGTATTCGTGTGTGTGTGTGGTTATTTTGTATCCGTTTGCCCCCCGCCCCTGCCCCCCCAATCACCCGACGAGAAAGTAGAATAATACACATACGATTGTTATTATTATTATCCTTAAAAGGAAGAAAGAATAAAATAAAAAAAAAAAAAGGTAATACTCGCATCAAAAGGAGGAATTGTATTAGGAGAAGTCGGAAAGAAGAGGAAGATAATGTTAAGTTTTGATATTTATTTGTACGGATGGGGGAGAGTCTATTTGACAACTACACACAGCCTTGCATGCGGTTATACATGCATAGGAAGACACACGCAGGTATTTATATTTATATTTATATATATAGAGAGAGAGAGAGGGAAAAAGGGAAAGAGAGGGATCGAATGGGGAATGTGCGTGGAATGTGGTGTACAGTGACGGTGACTGCTTCAAAGGAATAATTGGTATTTCATTGAATCAATTCTTTATTATTATTATTATTTGACTTTTTCTACTTTTTCTCTCTCTTCTCTCTTTCTGTGATCCCCCTCCATGAAGAACAGCGGTGATCAAAAGGGGATGTGTGGGTCCTGTAGGAAGAAGACGCAACAAGGAAACGGAAATTAGAATAGTATCAGGCGGAGAAGGACAGGGGAGGGAGGGGTGCAGCCAAGACCCAAAGTAACATAAGAAAAAACCAATAAAGGCCGTGCGTGAGAGACGCGTGTCCTCATTTGTGTGTGTGTTTGTGTGTTGCTTCTGCTGCTGCCCCGTCATATCGCTCTTTTTTCTCATTATTTCCTTCTTAATTTGTCTTTTCACGTTTTTCTGTGGGAAGGGGGCAAACGGTCTCTCTGGAAGCATCACACATCCACTCACTTATTTAGCCAGGGGATCGTCACACATTACACACAAACACGCGTAGCCCTTTCTGTTCCTCCTCCATCCCCTGAAGGTGTTCTTTAGCTCGGTTTGCTCAAGTTTGAAAAGGGGGTTAGGATCCCTTTTTTTGTGTGTGTGTGTGTTTTTGTTGTTGTTGTTCCCCCCCTCTGGTGTTGGTTTCTTCGCTCATTTATTTTACTTTTGCCTCGTTAGATGCAGCGTACCTTGCGCCAGTGCACGCAGTTGCTGCTGCTGCTGCAGGGAGTGGGGGCGCGTCACACCACCACCACCACCACCATGACGACCCACGGCACCGGGTTGAAGTGCCGTGATGATAGAAACGAGCTGCAGATGGAGCGGAGAGCTCGGCGGTGTTTGTCGCTTGCGGTGGAGGGCAGTGTGCTCCGGGAATGTCGTAGGTTTGCCTCGATGATAACACGGCGACGCAGCCGACCCAAGTCTTCACGCGCGGCCTCATCTGCAGCAGGGACCGCCGCCACACGGCAGCAGCAGAAGCAGCACGAAGAAAAACAACAACAGCAGCAGCAGCTGAAGTCCTCGGCAATACCAACGGGCAAATCAGTGATGATGACACAGCGGAGGGTGCCGGTGACGACGAAGGAGGGAGAAGATGCCGTGTCATCATTGAGAATGAGAACGGGAACTAACACCACTAAGACCACCAACGCCACCACGAATACGACGACTAATGCGGCCGCTGCCACGTTGCGGAAGGGGGCTTCAACTGCGGCCTTTGTCCAAAACAACAACTATATCCCTCATGATGTTTCCGCATCGCTTACGTCCGCGAAACACGAGGGTGGGAATGTTGCCGCTGCTGAAATTGGCTCTCTCCTCGACATTGAGTCCCCTCTAAACCTTCGCCTTGCAACGCTCATGCAGCAGCCTGGGAAGGCATTTCGGGCTATTGCGGTAACTTTTTCCACGAAGCGAGACGTCAACTTTTCACTTGCGTTTGAAGACATTGCCTCCGGGACGACGCTACAGTGTCGGTTGGATGAGGTGCGGTCTGTCTATGTGCCGTGGGTGCGTCAATTTTGCGCCTCATGGGTGCTGCTTTTTGTGCCAACGTTATCATCCGCCAACGCGGTGCTGTTGGAAAATGCCGTGCTGTACAATTTAACCGGTCGCGCGGTTGTCTCAGAGGCAGGGAGAGAAAAGGCGTTTGAGGAACCAGACCACATCTTCATCTCCTACTGCAAACTCAGGGAAACACTGTGCAAGGCTAAACGAGATGAGAACATAAATACGGAACTGCTCACTAGCGCTGTACTGAACGCGTATGCAGAGGACTGGCGAAATTTTATCCATTCACCGGGATCTTCCTCGCCCATGGAGATTTTGATAGCTGCCTTTCAATTTCGGGCACAGTCTGGTCAGCCACTACTCAACAAGCAACTACTTCATGCGCAGCTAGCAGCAGCAGCAACGGCGCTGCAGAAGCCTGGTAAGCGTGGTGTTTCATCATCATCATCATCGCGCGGGTCTAGTAACGGTATATTGCGGAAGAAAGAGTCTTGGATGCTTGTTTTTGTTTCTGCCCCTCTGGTGAGTGCATCCGGAGCAGGAAGCGTTGTGCCGCCCATGCAGGACCTTTTAACAGGTGAATTTGTGGAGCCGCTACTTCTTGGGGAGAAGAGTGTCATTTATATCATTGGCTCCGGCACTGCGGCGGAGTCGTTTGCGCAATTCCCACTCATGCGGAAGGGTAAACAAAAGGTTTCAATTCTTCTTCAGGATATAGAGAACCAACTTGGGCTTCGACGACCGAACCGACCGACGCTAACAACGACACTTATTCAGGCGCTGGATCTCTTTTCGCGCTACACATGGATGGGACTGATGCAGACGGAAGACGGCTCACTTCGGGTGCCACGGGCAGCACGGAGCTTTACACCACTACATAGACGCTCTGTTACCTGTGAAATTATGCCCACCTTTTTGGAGGCGGCATTTGGGCAAGCTTCACGCAACTTAGCAGCCGGGAATGGCACACCGGGAGCAGGTGGCGGGGCTGTGGCCCCTGGAAGGGTGAACCGTCGCCTGGAGGAGCATATCAAAGCCATATTCAACAACAATGAACGTCTGACGCTGGAGAAGGCGTGGCGAACCAAGCTGCGTGACTGCAGTTGTTTCTTTATAGAGGTGAATTCCGCGAATGTAATGGCAGCACGTCGTGCTGATAATCCCTTTTCTGCTCGAAATGGTATTCTGGAGTTTCATGGGCAGTTATGGCGCTCTCTCGATAACGAAGCCAAAACTCCACCGCCGGTGAAGAAAATTGCGGCGAAAATGATGGCAAACGGTGATGTGAAGGCGTTTGTCGAGCCCGAGAATTGTATTCCTGAAGAACTTCCGACCAGCCGCGATACGACACGGAAGGATCAGCCCCTCGCCTCGAACGCCATCATTGTTGCGTGGGACGTGAAGCGGGCGCTGCTGTTTTTGCGTGGGAGCAGGAGGCTGCAGCAATTTCTTCATAATGGAGGTCGTATTTGGTGTGCCCAATACGCACAGTATCTCTTGAAGGGGTTTAATCACGACAACCTGGCAACCATGGAACGCACCCTCCTGCAATACCACATGGGACAGGGCAAACTGGATTCACTGGAGAAGCTCAAAATTATTTTTGAGAAGCAACTTGATATTGCCGTGAGCACACGTCAGTTGATCTCCGTTTTACACCGTATGGATGGCCTCTTAGCCGCAACAGAAATGGAACTTCGTGGGTTACAAATATCTTCGCAAGAGGAAGTGACTAAATTTTCCCATCACTTAAAAACGTCACATGAGAAGTTGGAAAAGCTCGTGAATGATAAAATTATGGAGTTCACCAGAGGTATGGACGATGAGGTGCGGAAAAGGATAAATTTCCGCTCCCCGCAAGACATTAGCACAATCATCTACGGTGGGGCGCTTTGTCGCCATTTGGGCGCCAGGTACGTGCCAGTTGAGACTGCAAAAACACCCGTAACGGCACTTTTTCCTCATGCCGTCTGCCGTGTGACAGGGACGCCTATTCCAGTAGCATACACGCAACCTGAAAGCCTCTTAGCACCCAAGGGACCCGGTAGCAATAGTGGGTCCCGGCGGGGCAAGATCACCATCAAAGAGAGTAAAGTCAAGACTGCATTGGAGGCGATTGAAGGGTACACGACACGTAATACTTTAGAGAATCTACTTCATTGCACTGCTGTGGTGGTGGTTACGTGTAAAGTACGTCCTGGTAACTTCCTTGAGATGTTTTTTTTACATTGCCCTAGCACTGAACCCAACGATGAACTGAAGTACAGCGTTGCCATTGATGATGTTGTGCCAGTAACTGACGAACCAGAAATGCTCACCGTGATGCAGTTGAAAGAAAAGATTGCCAAATATAGGCCACTGCGTGCGCTTCAATCCTTCAAAAAACACGGCAAGAAGAGTTATGATCTTCGCAATCTGCTCATTCTTACAAACTGCACCCACGACAAACTTTCCTCTTTGGTCGATACTGGTATTGTGCAGACAATTGCCGAGACGGTTTTGGGGCCAAATGGCGCGGATGAATCTCCTCTTGAGCGTGTATGTTTTTGTGATCTGCAGCGAGCATTGCCACCGCCACCACAGGGCGCGGATAGTTTTGAGAGCGACTTCTTGGGTCTCGTGGACGTAGCTGAAAATGCGGGCCTGTCTGCCCGAGGGAATTGGGAGGCCCTCGCACGGGAGTTTGTCTCCGTGGGTGGATTCGACGGGGCATTGAAGGCGTTGGTGTCTCACTGTGCGTCGCTTTTAGGCACTAGCCGAGACCCATTCCGCAATACGCATCCGCTTCCACTTTCATTGGGGGCCGAACTTCGTGGGCTTCACGGGCAAGAACGGGCTTCCACACGTGGGCTGCTGTGGATTGTGACCCCAGAAGAACTTCATCCGCTTTTGCATCGTTCCCTGCGTGGTCGCAACGCCTCATCTGGGGCTGACGCCATCGAACGCATCACCGTTCTCCTTTCATCCGACAAGCAGATTGACCTTTCCTTCTTCAAGGCGCTGCAGCAACTTCGTTTCACGGAGAAGAAGATGCAACTCTTTGAGGAAGGTGCCTTGTTCCGCGCGGTGCTGCCGGAGTGCAAAGACCGTGTCCATGGGGAGTTGTGCCACACAGTCACCGCAACCGGTCGTTTGTCTTCACAGTCCCCAAACCTACAAAACATCCCGAGAGAAGAGGATTTACGGCGACTTATCGTCTCCCGATTTGGTAGACGTGAGGGACGGATGATTGAGGCGGATTACAGTCAGTTGGAAGTGGTGGTGCTGGCGGCACTTAGTCGTGACACTCGTATGCTGCAGGAACTACACGACAAGGTGGATTTTCATTGTTTGCGTGTTTCACTCATGACAAAAGAACCATATGAGAATGTTGTGCGAAAGGCAAAGCAAGAGAGGGACCCACACTACATTCAGCTTCGACAACAGGCCAAAACATTCTCCTTTCAGCGACAGTACGGTGCGGGCATTGCCACCATTGCCACCACTACCGGATTGACGGAACATGAGGTGGAACGACTCATATCGGCAGAGGAGCAACACTACAAGGATCTGAGTCGTTACTACCGCCTGGTTATGGACTGCGTTGAGGCGGGTGCGGATCGGCTACTACGACTGCGTACATTGGATGCTGCAACATGGTCACCCGCCATGCGGCGCATGATTCTGCTAACGGAGCCTCTGCATTACTTTGTTGTACCTACAGGCAGTAAGTTTGATTTTGCAAAGGACAAGAAGAGCATTCCACGACTGAAGAATTACCCAGTACAGGGACTAGCGGGAGAGATTGTGCAGATCATGTGTGGCAAGATTGTGCGTCGTTTCTACGAGAAGCGGAACTATGATGGAAGGGCGTTTTTGGTAAACACCGTCCATGACTGTGTGTGGATTGATGCCCATTCATCTGTCGCCGATGAGGTTATGCATGATGTATCGGAGATTATGTCTTCCACATCAAAGGTGATGAGCAGCCTTTGGCCCGATGTGAAGCTGGATGTCCCATTTAACGCGGATGTTCATATTGGACCTTCATTGGGAGAATTCTCAAAATGAATGAATTTGTAGAATCTGCATCTGTATTCTTTTGATTTGTTTATTTGTTGTTGTTGTTTTTTATTATTATTATTATTTTTTTTTCGTTATGTGTGGTTATTTTGCTGACCGTGATACACGTATGCGTCGTGCACCGGTATATATATACAGGGAAAGAAAGAGAGGGGAATTGGAGTCAGGAAGAAGGTACATCTATATTCCCTGTGGATTTTTGTGTATATACCAAGCGTGTAGGACTCCACACACACACACACACACACACATACATACATACATACATACATAGATACATGCATCTGTGCGTGCAATGGGTGGGTCCATGGGACGTGTGATTTGTTTTCGTCCTTTTGGAGAGGCCAGCCCTCCAAAAGAGAGAGAGAGAGAGAGAAAAGAAAGGAGGGGATGGTGGGAAAAAGGATTATAATAAAAGAAGTGAGAAGAGGAAGAAGAAAAGTTTGATGGTGGCTGGGGAGGATGGTCCTCCCGTTTTCCATAGAATTGATAATATGACGTTGTGGGGTGCAAACAAACAAAAAAAAAAAGTAAATAAATAAAAAATAAAAATAAGGAGAAGAGTGTGTTTGTGGGGAGGGGGGTAGGTGCAGTAGGGGGAAGCATGTGTTGTGATTGAATGCATGGGACTAATACACTGTCGATTTGTTGTCAATTTGTTGTTGTCGTTGGAGGGAGGGAGGGGGATTGCGGTGTTTCTCTCAAAATGTCTAACACATCTCTACCATTATTATTATTATTATTATATTTTTATATGCGGCCACATTTACACATGATCATCATCATTATTATTATTAATAAGGAGTACACGGAGAGAAACCGAAAGGATTATGTCTTGCCAATGACCGCTTTCTTGTTTGTATACGTGTGTGTTGAAATGACTCTCATCTTATTTTTGTTTACTTTGCCTCTGTGTATGTCTGTAGAGCAGAATAATTGCAGTGCATCAGATATTTAAATCCATATATTTTAATAAAAGCACATACACACACACACGCAGAGAAAGAGAGAGAGAGAGAGACAAGCAAAGATATATAAATTCCTGTTAATAATACATACTCACTCACATTCACCTAAACACGGAAAGAGATTGGCGACCATGGAACTCTTGGGGGACGCTGAACAACTTGTGGCGAAGTGCATGATGTTGGGACTCACAATACAGATGGCAGGGCATGAGGATGCAACCACACATCTTGCAGTGACGCTGCAGCCGACGACGATGCGCCGTGGCGAATTTGATGTGCTTTGCCGTCGCCAGCTGCTGTGGAACGAGGCAGTAAATAACACGGCAAGGAATTTTCAATTTCTGTTAGATGCGCTGCGTGAGACGGCGGCCAGTGACACGGAATTTACGGGGAAGCTTGTGAACATACTGAGGGATGTATATCTTGGCACCTCCCCCTATCAGCCCCTCATGCTTGGCATATTCCGCACGGACTACATGCATGACGGTGCAGCAGCAGCAGCAGCATCAACAGTAGCGGAAACGATGGAAGAGGACGCGGCGGCGTGGAAGAATGTGGAGATCAATACAATCAGCTCCTCCTTTGCCGGCCTCTCTCCGCTTGTCAGCGATTTTCACCGGCAGATTGCTATGTACCAACGCGCATTGGGTGGTGGCAGTGCCAAGAACACCGCCGATGACCACCAAAATAATGAAGCCATGCCCAACCTTGACAACGCTGGTGTGTTGGAGCGGAGCACGGCAGGGAAGATTGTTCCAGAAGCTCTTGCGGCGGCAGTGGCAGCGTGGTCAAGCCAGCAGAACTTTGAAGCTTTTCGTGACGCCTATGGAAAGGAGCAGCAACACTGTCGGTTATTAGACCCCATCGTACTTTTCATTATTCAGGAAAACGAGCGAAACACGGCCGATCAATTTGCGTTGATATTTGAGTTACTTGAGTCACATGGAATCCCCTCTTTGCGGCGAACACTGAGGGAGCTGCAGGTGAGTATGAAGCTGCATCCTGTGCCCAACGGACCACCACTGGCTATTGTGGATGGACGTTACCCTGTTGCTGTGGCTTACTTTCGCAGCACATACGTCCCGGCAGACTTTCCGACGAAGGCGTCATGGGATACACGACTTGCGGTGGAGCAGAGTAGTGCCATCAAGTGTCCGAGTATTCCATACCATCTCCTTACTTTTAAGAAATTACAACAACTCTTCTGTGATGTGGGTAATGTTCTCACACCCATAGCGTTTTGTGGTGACGCAGTAAGAGCACTTCAGCTGCAGACTCACTTTGTGCCACAGTACTCTCTTAACCCTGCGGAGGTGGGTGAGGATGCGGTGCAGCGCGTTATAGATGATGCACTGCAACATCCAGCACGTTATGTGCTGAAACCGCAGCTGGAGGGCGGAGGTAATCTTATCGCCGGTCAGGCCATGCAGGAAGTGCTGCGAAAAAAAGAACTTACGGACCCGTTGCTGTACAACAAAGTCAGACGGGAGTATATTTTGATGTCCCGCATCGAATTCCCTGTGCGTTCCGGCGCTTTCCTCGTAAATGGAAAAGTTGTGCAGCTTGAGAAGAACATTTGCTCCGAGCTCGGCATCTATGGCGTGATTCTCTCCGACGCGGGTGGTTGTTTGCTGCAGAACGCCTGTGCCGGCTACGTGGTGCGCTCAAAGCCTGCAGACGTGGATGATGGCGGTGTCATGGCGGGTGTCGCCGCCCTCGATTCACTGGCGCTTGTTTAAACGAAAACGGAAAACAAATCAGACGATCGATCATCCCCATGAGGATTAAGGAAGAGGCAATAAGGATGATGCAACGCCATGCATGCCACGCTGCAGCATCATCCTCCTACTCTTTTTTTTATGGGCGCAACGATTAACCCCAAGGGGCGACTGCTCTCCCCTGACCCACCAGAACACAGGTGTACACTGGAGTGAACTACACGAATTTGTTTTGCCGTGTTTCTTTTATTATTATTTTTTTTTCATGTACTTGTTATTTTTCCCCCGATTTATGCGAAAAATAAAAACTTCTTTTTTTCTTTTTTTTCTTTTTTTTTGGGGGGGGGGGGGTTCTTTGCTGTTTGAAGGCTGAATAGCAACCATACACACATGAAGCCATGCTGTATGCTGAAGGCACGATTGGGCAGTCAGCCGCAGATGGGCTCCTCTCATGAGCGGCTGCGGCGTTACCCCACTCGAAGATCATTAAGGCCGGGTTCTCTTCTCTCTTTCTCTCTCTCTCTCACAGACACAAACACCAACACGAACGAATGATGATTCTCATATCATGTTGACTGAACTCATTAATAAATGCTGCAAGCAAATAACCGCAGAGAAGACTGACATGCCACACCCCTCTGTGTCGTATTTGCCCATGTTTCCTCCTTACTCTCTTTGATCATAACAAAGGGGAGAAGACAATTCATTGGCAAGTGAGGAGTGAGGAAACGTGTGACGCGCTCACAGATGCGATTTGGTGGCAACCATCATATATTTTCTTATTTATTTATTATTTTTATCTTCTTTTTCTTTCTTTCTCTTCCTTTTTTTTTTTTAAATCGTGTATTCTTTTTCCCTTGGCCTGGCGGGATTGGCTCATTGGAAGCAGGGAAAGCGGAGACCATCTACCGAGAGGAGAATGCCGCCTCGGTTTGCGAAAAACAACACCACGCCTTTTAAGAAACGGGTCGCCAACCTGTTTCAGATGTACAAGCGGGATTTGTTCTTTTCGTGTGTGGCCCTCGTGGCACTTGGGGTTGTCTTCCGCAGGGAATTGATGCTCCACGGCGTGATTGGTGCCCCGAAGCGGACGGAGGTGCTGCCCAAAGTTGAGAGAGAATTTGGGAAGGGACGGCGTCAGAGAAGCAACGCCAACGACACATGACGCGGGAGGAGCGGAAAGCGGCGATCGAAGCAATAAAAAGGAAAAAGTAAAGGCCTGGGGAATATGTGCACTTATGTATGCGTGTTCATTTCTCCTCGGTGGATGCCCACATGATGTGTCGCGGGATGCAGTTTGATACTTTTCTTCTATACACGCTGAATCCTGAAAACATGCGTTGGTTTATGTGGGGAGCCTTTTTTGTTTGTTTGTTTGCCCGTCTATAAATCTTTATTCCCATAATTGTATTTTGTTATGGGCGGTTCTTGTCGTCATCTGGGGTTGTTGGGGGTAGAAGGCCTCTCCCGTGTTTGCCAGCTGAATTGGTGGCGAGACGCACCCGTGTGAGTGTGTGTAAGATACATGATGGGCGAAATGGGAATGGGAGGAGGCGAAAACGCCTGTTCTGCTTTTTTTTTGTAAAGAATGAAATTTTGGGATGCAAATGGCCACGACATGCACACGCATACTCACGTTCTCTTTCTCTTTTGGTCCCTCTCTCTGATTCTGAACGCATATACACACACGCACGTTCAACCCCAAGGAGGAGCAAAGGTAGAAGAAATTTAAAAATAAAAAAAAATATAAAAAAACAAAAGAGATTAAATTATAGGAAGAGGATCGGAAGATTGTTAGGATTGTTTGACTGGGAGGCGGGGAGGGTGGAGGAAGTAGGCTAAGAAAGAATATATATATATATATATTCGCTTTTGCCTGTGCGTGTGGGCGCGCGCTGCGGTGGTGGTGGTGGTGGTGGCGGTGGGTTTCATTAGTCTCCTGAGGAAGACTGTATATGATGTTCATGTCAGTTAGAAAACCACCACTTTCTTCTTCCAAAGGCACGGCAAAAAACCCTGCCTTGCGCAAGGGTGATATGGGGACAGGGCATGAGACCTCGCAAGGTTCCATTCCGACTGTTCCCAAGACCGTCCCACTCCGCAACAACACCCGATGTAGCAGTGGAAATCCTTTTCTGTACGGCTCGCAACGTGGTGGTGCATTGCCCTACCAGACCACCAATTCGCTCTTTTTAGGGAGCGTTGCACAGGGCAAAACGGGCGAATCAAGTCCTAGAAACAACAGCAATGGCAATGGCAATAGCAATAACATCTTTGGACATGAGGAGCCTACCATTTCCACTGGTGGTGGGGCGCTGCATAGTGGAAGTGGCGGCCGTTCTATCGTAGGGCGACGCGTGCAGTCAAAAATTGATTTGAAGCGTAATTCAAGCGATGATGTTGCGGCTGTTCTCGGTGGTTCGAGTCTAGCGAATGTGGACCGCACCGCAAACGGCGCCACACGAAAAGCATTTTCAGGACCACCATCAACCCGTGTTCCGGCAATTCAAGGTGGGGGAGTTGGAAGTGGCGGGGATACCATGCTGCATCGGCCACATCCGCCTGGTAGCGGAGGCGCGAAATTGGGTGTACGCCCAATACAATTTGCCCTGAACGGCAACAGTAGCCAACGTTTGTCGCCGGTCCCGCCTGCTCCCCCCGTTCTTTTTGACCAACACAAAAATGTATTGGAGCACACCCCGTTTTCCTCGCGCCAGGGGAAAAAGGGGTCACATGGAAGCGTGGATCCATTTGCCACAACACATATTCTCAACGGTGTGGGCACAAGGCTTCCCCCTCAATTGGATGAAGGAGGTACACGGTGGGGTAAGGATGTATCGACACCGTTTGCACTCGCGTCTGTAAAACTGCAGCAATTGTCTCTGCCAGAGAGATCCACATCTCCAAGGTTGGCGTCAGAACCACCTGCTGCTTCGGCCCGCTGCAGTGGCGCTGTGGCGAATAGTACTAAATTATCGGGTAGTGCTCCCGAAGATAGCAGTACCAAAAGCAATATCCTTCAATATGACTTTCGTGTAGTGGCTAGTACCGGAAAGACATTCAACTCTCCCATAAAACTTACGGTTGGTGTGGGTAGTCTTCAAGGACACCGTCCAACGATGGAAGATGAGCACTTTGTTCGCCTGAATGCAGCAACGGCGGCGGGACAGTCTGTGTCTTTGCTTGGTATTCTTGACGGTCACTGCGGCCGTCGTGTGGCCGAGTTAGCGTCAAGACATGTCCCGGATAATTTTGTCGCCCACTCGGCACTTGGTGAAAACAATGCATTGGCTTTTGTAGAATCTATTATACAGGCAGATCGAGCCATTTTTCATGCTCTAGGTAAAGGTACAGGCGGGGGAGCGAGTGTTAGTTGCAACAGCAGCGGCGGTTCTACTCTTATTGCCGCCGCTGTTCATGGGCGCATGTTGTATGTAGCCTGTTTGGGAGATGCCAGGGCAGTGCTTTACGATGGCAACACAACCATTCCCATGAGTGAGGACCATAAGCCCACCACAAAACGGGAGCACACACGTATTCTTCAGTGTGGTGGGTTCGTACAGTTTGGTAGGGTGTGTGGCATTCTTGCGGTGAGTCGGGCGTTAGGAGACTATGAATTTAAATTCAACGGCAATAGGTTTATTGCAAATCGGGAACTGATGGTGTCAAATGTGGCAGATGTACGACAAATCAACTTAACAGACTCTAGTAATTTTCTTTTGATGGCCTGTGATGGTCTGTGGGATGTCGTAGAAAACGAGGAGGCCACACAATTTGTTCGGGACTTCTTAAGCTACACGCCAGATGTGGGTTCATCCCCGGAGGCTACGAAGCGTGCGCTTAACAACTGTTGCCAGAAACTTGCCGAGTTTGCCGTGGATCGTGGGAGCACGGACAATGTCTCCGTGATGTTGCTATTTTTCCATGATGTAGCAGATGTTGTGGCTGGGTTTGACAAGCCAGTGGGGGCGGTCGCTTCACCTCCGGCAAGTCAAGTATTGTCACCACGACTCACTGGCCCAAGTCGCGGCATCCCATTTGGTAGCTCCATGCTTGACGGGGGTCTGCACACGAGCAGTGGGACATCAGGAACGAGGCGCCCATCGTTTGGCTCCGTCTCCTCACTGCACGGCCGCGGTCGCTCTATCTGGTAATGGACCGGCTCTGCCAACGGTTGTAGGAATGGGGCGGGAGACTCCAGACGCACAGACGCAAATTGGCAGGACGACACACACTTCGCATCACTCTTCTCTTTTTCTTTTCTCCTTTTTTGTTTTGTTGTTGCCGTTTTTCTTTTGTATGTGTATGTGTACGTGTGTGTAGGAGACCGTTGCAGAACCCGCTAGAGACATCGCCAACATTATTGTGTACGGTGGAGATCTGTTTTTGGTTCTACCGATGGGATGACTGGGGTGGAGGGGAAGAAGTGGGAAAGCAAACGCAGAGGAGAAACAAAAACAACAAAAATAAATAAATAAATAAATAAATAAAGGGAAAAAAAAAAAAAAAAAGTAATAATTTCAAGAAAAGGGGAAAAAAATGTAGAAAAAAAAAATGAGAAAGTGGGCTGAGGAAGAGAGGGGAAAAAAAAAAAAAGGAGAGGGGGGAAGGGGGAGTAGTGGGCGTGTAGGATGGAGGTGAGACGAAACAACCAGCAAATTCCCCCCTACAAAAGGCATTTATTTTTCCTCTTTTGTACATATATATATAAGTGTATATAAGTGTATGTAAGTGTACGTGTATATAAATCTTTTTTAATTTTATTTTATTTTATTTTTACTTTAGTTGTGCGTTGTTGTTGTTGTTGTTGTTGTTGTTTGTTTGTTTTTTTGCTTTTTTTTTCTTGCTTTTTGTCATCTTTTTCTTGTGTGTTTGTGTGTCACCACTTTGAGTGCAGTGTGACCGAGCGTGAGGCCATGTAATAAATATCTGTTAAAAAAATAAACAACAAACGACTTATGCATACATCTTTTTTCTTTTTGCTTTTTTTTTTTTGCTTTTCTCTTTATGTATGTATGTATGTGAGTATGTATGGAAATAAATATATGCGTCTCAGCCTGAAATTTGTTCTAAAAACCTTTCTTACTAGTCATCGTGATGGCACGTGTCTCTCTCTCTCTCCCTGTGTGTGTGTGTTTGTCTGTTTAAGTGGGTGATGTAAATCAATTTTTGTGTAAAATGAGGGAAAGGGGAAAGAAGAAAGTCATCAAAAAAAAAAAAAAAGAAGAAAAGAACGAGAAAAAAAAAGAAGGAAAGAAGAAAAAAAAAAAAACTGTTCTTTCTTTTTTTGTTTTTTTTTTTTTTTTTTACTGGACACCGTATTATTTGCTCATATATCCTCATACATCCCTGTGTGTATTACAGTTGTGTGGGTGTATTTTCTTTTTTGTTGTTGTTGTTGTCCTCTCCTCTGGAAATATTTCACCCCTTATTTTGTGGGTCTCCGTGCGTGTAGTGTGAGAGGCGGGCGGGGGGAGGAGTAAGAAGGATAGAAGAGGGGTGGGGCAATGGGTGAAAGGGAAAAGGAAAGAGGAAGAACAAAAAAAAAAAAAAACGACAAACGCCATATTGTTGACTTGTGTTTGTGTGTGTTTTTGTCTTTCTTTCTTTTTTTCTTTGCGTGTGTGTGTTTTTGCAGTTCTCGTTGGCGTCCTTTTTTTTTTCTTTTTTTTTATATATTCTTTTTTTCTTTTCTTTTTTTTTTTGTTGTTGTTTTTGTTGTTGCCATTATTTCCCCCTCCCCCAAACCCCCCTCCCTTTCTGTCAGGTTAACATGGTCGATTGAGGAATATATAGGGAAAAAAAAACGAACGGACGCGTTGGATGAATTTTGGCTCTTTACCCGGATCCTGTTGTTGTTGTTTTTTTCAGGTGAATGGGAAACGGGCGGTGCAGTTTGTTTTGTTTTTTTGTTTTGCGTGTGTGTGTGTGTGTGTGTGTGTGTGTGTGTGTGTGTAACGTTTTCCTTTTTTATTCCTGGCGCTGTTTGTTTGTTCTTTTCTTTTTTTGTTTTTCCGTTTGTTTCTTTCTTTCTGCCATGAGCTTCTGTTGTCCTTCTCGAACGTTGTCTTCCGTCTGGGGGTGGGGAAGTCGTGTCGGCGGGTTTCTGTTGGATGCGTCTTCTCCCTGTTGACGTTGCACCCCATTCTTCTCTTTCTTGTCTTCTCTGCTGGTATAGAAAAGACTGAGGAAAGGAGAGAAGGGGGAGGGGGGGGGGGCGATGATGCTTTCCACGGAGGAAATTGCAACGATTACACTCAAGTCGCCGTTTGTCCACGAATACGGGGACACGCCGTACTTTAGGCGATGCATCAACGAGTTTTCGCTGCAGTTTTTTGTGCGTTACCGTACGAGCAGAGATGACCCCTCGCAGCACCGCTGGTCCCGCCTGTTGG